ATATCATGTGAATACTTGACATTATATAACGAAGAGTTTTTTTGTAGACCAATTTTGGCCTATTAAAGATTTTTAGATATGTTAATGCTTTAAGGCTTCTTTAAATACTATATCTGTATATTGCCTTAAAATCATGATTACTGCAGTACATATCGACATATAACCATTAAAAAATCCGGACCTTAATTAGATTTGATTTACATATTGCATCGCACACCCAATGAACAATGTAGTAATTAGCGATTAAAATTAGTATTGCATGCATAAATAATATAGTAATCATTAGCGATGAGAATGTCTGTAATAATTAGTGACGCAAATGTGTATTTTTAGTAATTAATAAAAGGCATCGATCCAGATAGGGGAAGTGCCTAACTTTCGTTCCAGTAATTACCTTGACACTTAGTGAATAAACTGTTGTATCCGTTTGAATACATTATCAGTGGTAGTATCTGGTACGATACTCCAGTCATCGTAGTAAAGCCAAGCGAGTAAAGACCGATAGGAAAGTCAAAGCAGTACACGTAGTGTTGCTAAACTACGTGACACTTAGTGTCTTTATTCACGTTCAGAACCAGCTAATAACACCAGATATTAAACTTTATACGTGCAATACTCCCAGAAATGATAATATAATTGCGCCGGGAATTGTCTTCTGGTTTGAAATCGCGATGCGTAGTGGTTACCCACACTGCATAAAGCAGGCCGACCTCTATCATTATTATTCAAATGCATCTGGATAGCGAGTGCCAGATATTAAAGCTTATTGAATCATCTTTATTGAGAGTGAGCAGCATATATAAGTGCAATTGATGTATAAACCGAGACAGGACATGCTCCCGGAAATAGCATAATTGCAGCAGGGTATCACCATCAATTCGCGATGCGTAGCATCAGCTAGTGGTTTCCCACACAACATAAAGCAGGCCGGCTTAATAAGAGGTTTAAGTTACCACAAAATGGCAGGTTCTATGTGAATTCTATGTAAATTCATATGGGTGGGAGGGTTTGGGTGCGAACTTTGCTTCTAGCGTAGATAGATGGCTGCGAGTCTGCTCGTAGCGTGCGTCTTATACTTGCCCGACAATGAAGACACTGTTAATACAGTATTCCATTGTGACCCTAAATTAGGCAATCTGCTTATGATTTCATGTGCGCTACCCGTATTCCTGATCAGGATTAAATGTTGATCCTGGCTTAACTGGATTGCCACCGGCATATCTCTGCTTAGCCATCTTTTTCGATCTGTTGACTTATTGCGTAAGTCAACTTTAAGTATTGTAAAAATTGATGATCATTAATAATTTAATTACTGTACAGTACTTACATCCGGGCGTAGTTCAAATTTGCAGATCTTTAGCAGATCAATAGTGCGAAACTAGTTTCGGATACAGTAGTGTTTCCTGCTGCAAAGTCGCAACTTAATATTTACAGCTTATTTATGTTGTAATTATTAGAAAATAACTCATAATTATTATATTACTGATGTCAAATTCTATTGCGACGATAGGTTGCAACCCTAGCGGCGCAATAAAAAGTCGCACTTCATATTTGCAGCAAGCAATACTAGTTTCGGAGGGTTTCGGACTTATAGGGCGAAACTAAAGTTCCTATGGGCGAAACGTTTCGGATTTGAAAATTAGTTTCGCTCGAAACATTGACTTACATATCACTCCGTTCCTGGTATACATAGAGATGGGTTTCATGCGTGCGCATGATTCCTTAATCGTGCGCATTTTATCTCATCTAAATTTTATATAGGAAAATTAAAGTATATTTAATTTAGGCCAAGGTGTATAATGCCAGGCAAAATTAAGAAATAGGAATGCATAAGTTTTGAAAAATTCCGAAAAAAAACGAATGAACATAAGGATGAGAAGGGTCGGGGATATTTTCCAGAGGAAAAATATAAAATCAAAAAAAAATTATATCATGCGATATCATGCGCATTTTATATAACTCTAGTCCCAGGCTTCCAATCTTAGCATACTATTACAGTCATCCTTCTCTATAATCACTAATAATATTGATGTAGACTCAAAACTAGTTTATAAAGTATTCTTGAAATACTGTAGTAATAGCATCGATCATTTCCTATAACGAGAGTAGCCCATATATAAATTTATTTTGGTGAAACATTAAAATACATATACAATTGAATTCCTTACCTAATAAATTGCTAATTAAAGTAGTTTTCAATTACATATAGATTCTTGCATACTGCACTGTACTTACGAAATTATCTGTTAATCTTGAGAAAACATTGTTCTTTTAAGAAATAACATTTGTTCAAACAGATCCACATCGAGCAACTACATTTTTACAGTCATAAGTTTTCAGGTGTCACCAAAAAGTTCCTTGGAAGCTTTCACTAGATGGGAAATATAACTCAATGTTTGTCATTTTATTATTATAAAAGCACGCTATTTTGTTTCTTCTATTTTCGTTTGCCACAATAACGTACGTAAGGGCTTTATAACAGATAAGATTACAATAACGAAATAAAACTTTAATAATTCGACGAAAAAACTTTATCAAAATGCTTTATTACCATTACGATTATCGTCACCACGATTAGAATAAGCTCGGATGATCCAATGGTTATTAATTATACTTGTAGACCATACTTAAACTTTTAAACATACCTCTTATCTGAAAAGCACTGACCCACCATATTTCAGACTGATATTGTGATAATTCTAGCACTGTAGATTACAATATTGCGTTGAATGGTGTACATGTAATACGTGAGGTTAAAATTATAAAAGTGAATTAATTTTTTTGAAATAAGAACAGAATTTATTTTAATTTGCTTGCTAAATATTAAGAATTAGATGTTTTTTTGTTAAAAATTAATTTGTTAAAGAATTCGACTTAACCATTAAGAAAATGATTGTAATATTTAAATTAGTTAAACTCCTAATTTTTTTAATTAACTGGCAAATCCTTCACGATTAAATTATCGCGGTTTGTAAAAAAAAAATTTTTTTCGAGTATACCTGTATACTGCGTATGCCGGATTACCTTAGCACATCGATTGAAGATATTTACTTATTGTTTCAAACGACAAGTACGTATGTATGTAACCAAACATCGATCTTTAATCAACGTGCTAAGGTATATTAGTGAAAATTTTTTTTCCTCATTTGTACCATTTCGAAGACCGCGATAAAGCCTTAGATAAATTCAACTAATTATATTGATCCACAGTTAAAATAAAGTCGGATACATCATGGAAGCCTTTTTCAATTGCATTCAGCTAGAAATTTGTATTAAATCAACATAATGTATACATTTATGCCAAGATTGAATTTCTATCTGAAAAAGCTTGGGAGTTTAGAGTTTTATAATTACTTTATGTTTATTCAAAGTGATATATAAGTTATAACATATACAAAAATAAGAAATCATGAAAAAACGAAAATAACAAATAATGAATTATAATTATATAATGAAAAATGTCTAGAAAAACTAAATTTGGCAAGAATAATGAATTATTATAATTGTTAATTCTGCAATTACATATCCAAAATTTCTATGTGCCACTATTAGTTCAAGAGATTTAAATTAATAAAAAAAAAAATTGTGATAGGTATAAATTTACAAAATTATTATGTTCGCATACCTTCGTAAGATTAATTTTTTGATATCCAAAACATGTAACCTCCTGATTGTTATTATTTAACATATATTTATGACTACATAGCATTGAATTTGTCGGGATATGCTTAAAAACAATATCGTGACATTCGATCAATGGTTCCTTTTTTTCAGGATCTATGTCATAGATATTATGTTGTACTATCCAATTGTCATCGAAATTATTCCATGTTTGACATGAGACTATTAAAGGTTGACAAGATATAGTTGAATAAGTTATTTAAAGGTCATAAAAGAGCAAAAGTTTACTTACCTTCTTGTTGTGAAGTTACTGGGGATTGAGGACCACAGTGTGAATGTAGTTTATGGCCAGTGCCATTATTTTTCAAAGTTATTTTATCACCGTAATAAACTAATGAGCCTTTTTCTTTTTTATCCCCATATTTTGGTGGGGTGTTCAATACGATAACTTCTGGCATTATAGTCCACGATTCGAAATCGGTCACATTACCATCTTTTGCGAAAACCTTAAAGTTGAAGGAAATTAAAATAATAATTTTTTTTTTAAAAAAAACAGTATGGTAATTAGTATTTAATACAAACCCAATATTGCTTTGAACCGCCGCTATATTTATTTAATGTACTCGATAAAATTTTATTAGTATCGATGTGGCGCAAAGCAATTACAGACCCATATTTAACTACACGTTTAAGCTTATAAAGTGATTTTTGGAGCTTAATAAAAACTTCATCAACAGATGTTGCATTTGCAATTTTTGAACTAAAATCATTCGCTAGCATTTCGCTAGATAAAATTTTTGCAATATATTGTTTTTGTGTACTTAAATTAAAAATTTCAGCGTCACTTAGTAATTGTCTTAGTTCAACAATAAAATCTCTGACATCACATAAATGTGTAAATCTCAGTGCTGAAAGTTTTTTTTCTGAAGTCAATTTGAAAATCTTATACGATGAATCTGCCTTCAGGAGGTCTATTACTTGCGAGAGTTTTGTTATAGACCCACTACTATTATTTCGAATCGCTCGACTTATTTTAAGAAGCGCAAGGTCTACTAGGACCGTCTCTGATGATATTCCATGAAGTGCTGCAACGAATTTTAAATTGTTAAACCAATCATCTGGGTGGCAAGAACCGTCGTAACTTGGAAATAATTCCATAATTTTTTTGTAAGTAAACGATGAGAAAAAGATTTACATGAATATATATCTTAAAAGAAATATTTTTAATTATAAAGAAAATTTTACATTTATTTAAAAAAAAACATTTATTTGACTCATATCAATTCTAATAATGATAAGGGTCAAGAGTATAAATAGACTTTAAAAAATGCATATAATGATTACGAACTTCTTTGGTAAGTAACGTTTGCACGATAGTTTAATTAATGAATATTTATTGATGAGTATTAAAGAAAATTTGTTGGAGATGAGGAAAGACTTACTCAACATATTTCAAGAATGTCAGCCTCCGTTTAACCAGTCTTGATAAAGGATTCTAAATATAAATTTAAACCTAAATTAGGTGATAACGAAGTCTTAATTTAAAATAGAATAGTTGACTTTAATAAAATATTTTAACTGACTTTTAATAAAGGAATGGCTTTATAAATATTATTTAAAATTTTAGTATAACTTTTAATAAAAAAATTTAATTTCAGACTTGCTTTATCTAAAAGATAATAATCTTCAAATGTTTATTAATTAACCAAGTTATATGCAATGGTTACTTTTGATGTGTAGTTTCCGAATTATAGTCAAAAGACAATTTGCTACTTATTTTCGATTCATAAATTAAAACTTACCCTATAAAAAAGGGTTCATCTAGAAAATATACAGAAAAATGCAATTTGTATAGATAATATACAGTAAGTATACAGAAGTATTCGGTATACATATAGAAAACATGCCAAAACCTGCAACACCTAAAAAATGAGCTGTTGCATTATTTGGCATGTTTTTAATATGGTCCTATATGCTTTCCTGTATATGTTTATATATACCGTATTTCCTGTATATTTTTACATTTCTACATGTTTACTATATTTACTATATGTTTTCTATAAGATTTTTTTTTTTTTTTTTTTTTTGTAGGATCACGCATTAGATTAATCATATAGTTAAAATGAGCCGATAAATTAAAAAATAAATCAGAAAAATGATGTCTTTTTAACGATAATGTAATACTCAAGATGGATTCTATGAATTTTAAACATCACATCAGACAAAAGTTAAATAAGTTAAATAATAGCATCACGCTATATGTATTTTTCTAGTGATCGAAATAGTTTACATGTATTATGACATAGTTTTAGTATTCTTATAGCCTTTTATAAAAATCAGTGGCACGAATAGTGATATTATTGGAATTTGCTCTACTCTAGTTTCGATTTGCTAATAATTGTAGCGATGTACAATTGCTACGATAGATCAAAATTATAGATCTCAATCAATGTTTGAGGAAATTTTGCCTATTTTATGTAGTATAATAGTTTAAAAAAAAATCAGAGTAATAGTACATAGTACGTAATGCGTTAGTATCAATAACGAAGATCCATAATAATAATAAAATTCATTCTAGTTATGAGATTTTTAAGTGTTGGAAAAAAGTTTGTTGACCGGAATGATAAACTCATTAAACTTTTTTTTTCACTATTAAAGTTTTTCTCTGATGTAAATAACTACGTGTTCTGTACTTTAATTATCTTAACGATATGCACAATTGATCGGTTAAAATATTTTCCCGATTCATTTCTGACACATTTTCGACTCATTAGTTAAGGCTTGCGAATGCTTTTAGATAGCTACAATCTTAAGTTGCATTTCCACAAATCATAATAAGGAACTCTCAATCATTTAATCGACAATGAATCTGATAAGTAATCCAATTAGATTCTTTATGAGAAATGTGCTTGTGAACGTCCAAAATAATGAACGTAGATTTTATTTATTTATTTTTTATTTTTTATTATAATTTTTTTAATAGATTACAATGGTAATTGCAATAAGAAAATAAAATGTATGTATTTCTTAGTGGAAAGGAAAGGAATGATTAATTTCTTTACGATTTTATTAAAGTTCTAAAATTGAAAATTTAAAAGCTAAATTAAGGCTTAGTCTACAAGATGTTGCGTTTTACTAGTTATAGGGTGCACACCTTTCAGGTAAGTTTATCTGTAAACTGTTACATGATCAAGTTATCGGATCGAGCACGTTGTTAGTGCACTTGTAGAATTTACTTATAGGGAATGATTTAAGGCGATTATCAACAAATATAGAAAAATTAATTAGATCATTAGTTAGCGCTTATAAAAGATTGTTGGCGATTGGTGCTACCTAAAATTTCTGTTCCGGTAAATTTTTATTGAAGTGACATTTATTTTTGGTAATTGATTTTCTTTTACTAAACTTTTT